AGCGTGGCAATTTCGCCGCACCATCCGTTCATTTAATTTCATTCTGACAAACTGAAATAGAAATGATAAGCTGATAACTGAACATAATTCATTGAATTAAAAAAAAAAAAAAAAAAAAAAAAAATCATTGAATTCAATTGAACCCATCCATTTGAGGAGTCTCAGAGGGGAGGAGGGAGGTCCCTCTGTTTCTGTTGTGGGGCATTGTATGGGCAAACACTACCTACCTACTTCATCTGACATTCTGACGCGATTTTTTTATTTTTTTTTAAATGACACTCTAACACAGACTCCTATGATATTTAAATGATACATGATACTTCCCCTCCTCTAAGGAAACTATACTCAGATGTGGACTTTTACGGCCAAATCTGACGGCGTTTGCGACCAGATCCATCAAAGAAACAAAAGCTATCGACACTACGCGCGTCAAATCTTCAGTGCTGTGCAGGCGCTCGCAAGAGATCACTTTTTCCAAGTAATGATGCGCCGCAGCCTTGGTGTCACGACTAGATAGTAGAAACACATGCTCCATATTCTAGTGATGCGGACGTCTATGACTGGAATTGACCGCAATCATGACCAGATCCATCAACGATTGCTTTTTTCTCAACAGGCACGAGCTGGAAGTGGCACTTGCTCCTCCTCTAAGAAGACTGTACACGAAAGCAGACTTTTACAACTGAATGTGATCGCAATTAGGACCAGGTTCATCCAAGAAGGTCCAACCAGGTAAGTGGGGTGAAACGTGCCCCACCTACACAACAAGGTAGAATTTTCAATTTTCTACCGTTCTAGAACATACTCACAGTAACACTTTCCTGAATGTATGTATAACTGCAATCACGCCCAAATCCGGACGAATTTGTCCGCGTTTCCCCTTCGTCTCAGCCTTGCAGAAAAAGAAGTACGTCGCGTGCAAAAAATTTGAAGCCCCGGGGCTACTGGACTACGATGGCTGGCGGCGCCAGCCAGAAAAAAAAAAAAGAAGTGCGCCGCTGGTGGTTCGGAAAAGCTTAGCGCGCAGTGCCGCGCCAGCCGAAAAAGAAAAAAAAGTGCGCCAGCCGAGAAAGAAAAATAAAAAGTGCACCACTGGTGTACTGGTGATTTAAACTTCAAACCACCAGTACTTGGCCCAGCTATCAGCCGGAGAAGGAGGGAAAAAAAAGAGTAGAAACGTTTCTAGTCCGATGAATTTGGGCGCTCCTGTAGTAGCCCGTACGTTTCCTAAAATTGTGGCGACTCGAGGAAGTACTGGTGGTTTAATAGATCTGTCTGCAATCCTTTCCCGAGCTGTGTCGAAAAAGCCCTCGAGTTTATTGAAAAAAAAAAAAAAAAACCTCAAGTATCTGCCCTTATTAAAAGGAAAAAAAAACGCAGAAAATATCTGCCCTTATTGGAGAACCAAAGAACAAGTGACTTATCGGCGTGCAAGCACTCGAAAGTTTTTTTTCGGGGAAAGGGGGGGGGAAGAGCACCCAAGTTTCACCAGCAGGCAAGGAAGGGAGAACAAAAAGTTGAAGGACTCCCGATTGAAAACCAAAACCGAAGGCCAAAATGCCTTCGTCCTTCCCCCCCCCCCCCCGTTCCTTGCGCACCCTTGCCTTCTTCCTTTTTTTTGTTTTTTTTCCTCTGCCCTTTGATTTGCCGACGTCTAGTGTTTTCCACTCCTGATGTCCTCTGCCCGTTTACTTACCAACCGCAACCTGGATATTCCACTCGTAATATGTCCTTTGCAGTGCTGGTCCCTGGATGGACCGGGGGACCTTTGCCCGACCGGGAGCCTACCGGTCCAACCGGGGGGTTCACTGGCCCGGCAGGCCCCCGGTTCGACTTGGCACACTCTTTTTGGGGGGGGGTACGGGGGATTTTTGGGCATCCCCGTCCCCGCCCAGCCTTTGGGAGGCCGCCGCCACCAGTGAAAAAAAAACGGGGCCCTACCGGACCCCGTTTTCTTTTGAGAACGTGCAGCCAATCTCCGCCGCCGATCGGTGCAGATCGATGGTGGAGACCGGCCGCGCGTTTCCAAAAGAAAACGGGGTCCGGTAGGCCCCTGTTTTAAAATTTGAAAAAGCGGTCAATGTCAGCCGCAGATCTGCTGATCCGCGGCCGAAATAGGCCGCGTTTTGAAATGTGAATCGCGGTGTGGTTTTGCACTGCCTCCGCCCCACAGCCCTGCCTGCCCCATGCTACAGCAACATCAGACAACACTGACGTCGTGCCATTCAGCACGCACATTGACGTCGTATGCTGCCACCACGCGACCACAGCCAGCGCCCCTTCTCCAGCCCGCCATCGACGTCTCTGTGCAGCTGCTTCGCCCAGCCAGCCCGCTTCGTCGAAACAACCCCCCATAGCTGCACAGGTAAGTCCACCAGTGCCGCTCCTCCTCCTCCTCCTCCTCCTCCTCTTCTTCTTCTTCTTCTTCTTCTTCTTCTTCTTCTTCTTCTTCTTCTTCTTCTCCTCCTCCTCCTCCTCCTCCTCCTCCTCCTCTTCTTCTTCTTCTTCTT